TCTGATGAATCAGCCTTTCCTGCAACGGGAAAGCTATGCTCCAGGGGTACGGACTTTTTTCGTTACCCTCCTGCAGTCTAACATGGCCCTCTATAATGAGCATTTATACAGGGTTTCCTCAAAATGGTGTTGACTTTTCATTGCCATGTTTGATGACACCAGAGGCTACCCCAAAAAAATCCCTCTTCCCCAATATTCAAATCCCAAGAATCGGGAAGCAAAAAACACCATGAACAGATCCACGAAGAAAACCAAGGTTTCGAAATGTGTTTTGTGTAGTTGGTGTAGTTGATATTCGAGGAACTCATTTATTTAGTACAACTATAGCTACTACAGTTTGAACTATTATCAAGTACCAATATCAATATTTGTGGTGTAGTTGATAAAGTTTCTTGGTATTCCGAAGTTGCACTGTCAACCAACCGATATTCGACACCTCCTTGGCTGTGGATGACATGAGTATTGGTCAAAAGCGTGGCGTCCCCACACCGCCCCCATCCCAGACAAATGACAGCTGTTGGAGTGTTGGTTGAGACAAAAATGATGCCAAACTGCCTTCAACAAATGGGTGTGTCTGAAACTGGGGCTATACAGCCCAAATGGCCACTTACCCTCTGGTAATTTAACATAGCTATTGAAAATGGCCCAGTCGAAATAGTGGATTTACCCATTTTCATAGCATGGTGGATCTTTCCATAGTTTTTTGTTAACGTTTACCAGGCCGGGTAACAGAGAAAATGATGAAAAAAAACCTGGGATTTTGGGGTATGATGAAAATCATGACCTTGGGGGCGTTGGCACCGCACCTGACGAAAAGCTGGCGACCTCGAAAATGCCCTTGGCCAAAAAGAGAACCTGCCGAAAGGGCGCTATTGGTGTGAAAATCTCTAGGATTTCCAAGGGGTAAAGCTATGGTAACATCCTCCAAGACTCATAGTTCGACAACATCTTACATTGATTGGTGGTCTGTAAGTCTGTACATTCAATTTACAGTTGGTTGATAGGTTTCCCTACTATGGGTTATCATGATCCCCAGTAAACCAGGTAGTATAATCCCTATAGCGCTCAATTAACCAGGGTATTTTTAATAGCTCAATTAAGGTGTTTGTTAACATCCAGATTCAGTCAACTCGTTTCGCCTGCACTGGATCTCCAATTTTCACCACCTTGGCTGCTTTTTTGCGGCTCAAAAACAGGAATGTCCGGTGGGCTTGGGATGAATTATCCCAGAAATTGGAGAAAAATATCATTGAATATAGACTTACTGGTAAGTAAGGGGAATCATCCCCAAATGGCCGAACTATTCAGATTAGTGAAATATTTTAATTTATATACCCAGATGTATGTTCATAATGGTTCATGACTTACTGGTGCGTCTAAAACGTAGGGTTGCTGGATGGGTTGCTGGATGGGTTGCTGGGGGTTGCTGGGATGATGAAATTGATAGTTAGCCAGTGGATCATTCCCTCATTCATTCCCTGCGTAAAACGCACCAGTAAGTAGAAAAATACTAATGAAATATAAGTTGGGTTGAATATAGAAAAATACCATTGAAACATATTGAAACCACCACCAGGCGAATTTCGTTGGAGGATTCAATCCCAATTCCCTTTTTGTATTTTCTGCAGCTTCGCTGCACTGATCTCAAGCCAAGCAGCTTTCTGTCCCCGGGAGACCTCGCAACAGCGGACTGTGAAGCGTCCCCGTGCTCGGAAGGGGAAGTGAATAGGAAAAGCCGGGGATCAAGTCCCTATTCTTCATTGATGCCAAAAAAAGAGGTTTCCAATCCATTTTTTGGGGTACCTCCAGTTCTCATCCAGTTCTCATCCAGTTCTCATCCATTTTAGATTGGGATTTTCCATGAAATCGTCCATCCAGCGAGCTTGGGGATCCCCCCAAAATACGGAAACCTCTCCTGCTGAATCTTGACCAGCGGTTCCAGCAACAAGCGTGTGGACCTAGTGGACCAGTGACGGTTTTCTGGGGAATGGAATATAGGTGATGTGTTAGCAGCTACATTTACCCTGGGGACATCATGGAGAAAACCCATAGGAAAATGGAGGTTTTAATGGGAAAACCATAGGAAAACCATAGGAAAATGATGGAAAATGGAGGCTTACCCTCTGGTAATTTAACATAACTATGGAAAATCACCATGCTATTAATGGGAAAATCCACTATTTCGACTGGGCCATTTTCAATAGCTACGTTAAATTACCAGAGGGTAGTAAGTAACATCAGTAAGTTATATTGATTGATTATGTCCAGGACAATTAAGTTGGATTGGATTCGCACCACTAAAAAATGTGGGTCCCACAAAAAAATGGCGTTCGAACTGCCAAGAAAAGTGGGTTTCAAGTTGTCTCCTACAAGCAAGAGACTATACAACCAATATAAGCCATGACTACGAGATATTATGATATGATTGACAAAATAATCAACAAACAAAATGGTTTCGCTAACAAACAGGGGCAACGCAACAAACCAATAACGACTAGGATTGATGGGCCCCTACTCCTACTATTTTTGAAGATAAGAAGAAACCATTGCCGCAAGTGAAATCTCCATTTGAGCGTGTCTGAAACTGAAGAAACCGCAAAAAAGTTCGAGAGTTTGTCATACTACCCTCTGGTAAACGTTTACATAGCTATGGAAAATCACCATGTTTAATGGGTAAATCAACTATAAATGGGCCATTTCCAAGTTCGCTATTTTGACATAACCAGAGGGTATCCTGTTTATCCTCGTGTTTCCCAGTCAAAAAAATGCTAAGTTGCCATTGTAGGGGGCCTTTTTTTCCCATTTCACGTCCATCTGGCTCCGCACTGGTCCAGGGTCCGCAAGATGGGCGCGGCTTGGGCGAAGTCCATCCAATCCGAGCGTCGACCTGGGAATATGACATCCCGGCCCGGCTGGGCCCTTGAGGGAAACCACTGGTGGTAAGGGGTATGCCGAGTTTTTGAGAAAATGATGACTGGTTGGTGGTGCTATTTCACCATCTTGAAAAATGATGGAGTTCGTCAATGGGAAGGATTATCCCATATATTGTGGAAAATAATCCAAATGTTTGAAACCACCAACCAGATGAAAATGATCCCATCTGAAAGTGGATCAAAACCCACCTGTCGCCTTTTTCTAACCTGGGTTTTGAAGGGAATAGTTAATATTAGGAAGGTGGGACTACGATGACTACAGGTTTCGCTTGTCCACATAGGCAATACATGCCAGCCATATTCACATATGAATATGTATCGGCTATTGTAGGAGCCAATTTTGATGGAAAAACAGTCAGCCAGTGGATCGAGTGATAGATGGGACAGGAAATGTTGTGAAGAAACCTTGCTGGAGAATCTCCTGTAGCCTGTAGGGAAATTGATGGTCAGACGGTCTGAAAACGAAGTCGGAAACGGTGGCTGAACTCAGAAGGAGAATGTATAGAAGAATTTAAGGCGAAGCTTTTCTTACTGGTGCGTTTTACGCAGGGAATTTTCGGGAATGATCCAGCCATCATCACATTCGTAATGTCATCATCCCAGCAACCCCCAGCAACCCATCCATTGCCGGGGACGGTCCCAGGAGCAAAATACGTGGCTACTCTGTGGGACGGTCTCCCCAGCGGGTTTCCAGGTCTTGGTCCGAAACCATATCCGAAACGATTCAGGAATCGCACTCACACCAGATTTTGCCTGCTGTGTTTTGTTGTTTTTTCGCTGAATATTTTAATTTCAACATTAAACCAATTCTGAATAAGTGCTGATATCGATTTTCCCGACATTTACATGGATATGAGTCAAAACCTTGTATCTGTTCACACCAAAATATCTGGTAGTTAGTGGATGTTCATCTCACCAAAAAATAGTACAATAGGGTTTGATTCATCTCCATATATTATCAATGAATATTGTATACATATAGACAATATGTATGTATATATACATACATACATATATACATGTATCCCCAA